AAAGAAAGCATCTGATTCACATTCTTACCTTTAACTCTTGGTGCCTGTCTCTTTCCTTACAAACCTATGAGAGGAATTTTCTTTCTTTCTTTCTTCCTTTCTTTCTTTCTTTCTTTCTTTCTTTCTTTCTTTCTTTCTTTCTTTCTTTCTTTCTTTCTTTCTTTCTTTTCTTTTCTTTTCTTTTCTTTTCTTTCTTTCTTTTCTTTTCTTTTCTTTTCTTTTCTTTTTTTTTTGGTTTTTCAAGACAGGATTTCTTTGGGTAGCTTTGGTGCCTGTCCTGGATCTCGCTCTGTAGACCAGGCTGGCCTTGAACTCAGAGATCCGCCTGGCTCTGCCTCCCGAGTGCTGGGATTAAAGGCGTGTGCCACCACCGCCCGGCTATGAGATGGCTTTTAAAGAGATCTGAGACTTGTCTACTTGTTGAAGAACAGCTGACACTTTGTGGAAGTTCTAGTTCATGATGGGAATGAAACAGAACATTCCCTCCCCTTATTAAGTGGATCTGAACTCTGTTCTCCAACTGTTCCCAAGCATTTAAGAATAGCTACTGAGATCACCAAGAGGAGAAGTAATGGCACTGTCCTGTCATTTTTATTGAATAGCAGTTTCAAATTACTTTCTTACAGGTGTTAATATTTGGTCCTGAGAGAACTTAAAAGTAGACACACCAACTTAGCTTATTTGTATTATATGAGGCTCTATCTAAGATCTCACTTACATTAAGTATCAGAACTTGCTCTAAAATGCAAGTTTTCCCCAACATTCACTCGAGGGAAAAATGAATGATTAAAACACGAGGAGACCTTTATATTCCCCGAGCGCCTGTGTCCAGAACACAGCACGACCACTTGCCGTCTGTGTCCTATCCAGCCCTCTCATTGCCACCCGATTCGGTCCACACTGTCGTTGTGTGAGTGTCTTGTTCCTACAGCTGCCTACCTCGTTCTTTGCAACAAGGTCTCTCACTGGCTGGGGGGTCACCAATGTGGCTGGGCTGTCTGGCCAGCAAGCCCGGGGACCCCACCTCCACTTCCCCAGCTCTGGGATTATAGTCACATACTATCGTTCTTTTTAAGTGGGTTCTGAGGGTCGAACACAACAAGTTATGCTTGTGGAGCAAACGCCCGACCAACTGAGCTATCTCTTCAACCTCACCTTATCATTTTGACATCTAAGAATCAGTTTTAAATGCTTGGTCTTTCTATTATAGCATAAAAGTTGTATTATACTGCCTCTTTTTTTTTTTTTTTTTTAGACAGGATTCTCTGTAGCTTTAAAGCCTGTCCTGGAACTTACTCTGTAGACCAGGCTGATCTTGAACTCACAGAGATCCACCTATCTCTGCCTCCCGAATGCTGGGATTAAAGGCATGACAGGAGGATCTATGTGAGTTCAAGGCCAACCTGGGCTACAGAGTGAGTTCCAGGAAAGGCGCAAAGCTATACAGAGAAACCCTGTCTTCAAAAACAAAAAAACAAAACAAAAAAAACAACAACAAAAAAAAAAAATTAAAGGCATGAGCCACTGACACCTGGTTCATACTGCCTCTTAAATGTTAGACAATCACCATTTGCACAGAGGTTTTTCAGTAGACATTAGACAATGCAATGATCTTTTCCTTTAAACAAAGTACCGGGCAGGGCTCACTCTGTTCCTGCTGTGTGTCTCCCTCGCCCCTTACAACTTACATGCACTTAAATGGTAACGTCTGGTGGGCCCACGTCTAACTCCAGGTAATTGTCCCTTAAAAAACTATGGACAGAGTAAGACCCTTAATGCATTTTCCATATTGTTAAACCAGGGAGGAAAGGTGAGAACAGGGTAGCCTGAGCTAACTCTGCCATCTCAGCCCCCATACCTCATCTCAGTGTTAACTTTCTAAGTAGAAAGTAAAGGAAAACCTTAATCAGTCTATCTCGGCACGCCTCTATCAGGAAATTGGAACTTAACTAAGTTTTCTAAACTAATATTCTGACATCTTTTCCCAAAGGATCTAATTACAATATCACACGTTACTTTTAGAGCAAAAGAATTAGTCTTCAGATAATTTAAATTTCATTCTATATAATTTTCCTGCCTTGGATCCCGTTCTTTATCATGTCTCCATGAAGTGTGATGAGGTAGTAGAAAAACACACATAAATACTGAGAAGACTTAGGCCTCAGTTGAGTCGTTGCTCAGAGTGGAGCATGGGCTTTGCAGGTATCGGGTCTGGGTTCACTCCTCGGTGTCACACTCTGAGTACTGACATAGGACAATAAGGGCCTCCCTTGTGAATAGTGTGTTAGAGGTTGTACGAGTGGGAAGGTTTTATTTATTGGCTGTTGTTCTAATTTTGGACCATATAGTGACAGATCCTTGTTGCTTGATTAGTATAAAGAAGTCAGATAATATAACATTGCTTAATAAGATTTTAGAATGTATGATTGCTAAATACTTAGGACTGTTTGTAACTGATTACTCAGGTACATAAAATAAATAGTCCCATCCCTACCAGGCAGCTCTTACACATACAAGCTAAGAGTTCCACCACTGAGTTACAGCCCCACCTAAAACAAACAGCCCTTTATATCTCATATACCATCGCTTATGGAAGAAAAGCTACCCCATTCATTGCAGCAATGAAAACTATAAATTCCCAGGAATACATTCTTGCTCAAGAAATGTATTAGGTCTTATAGGAATGGAAACTTCTGTAACTTTGTTGAAGAAGAGCAACAAAATGAGCAACTCTTCCTGTACGAAAGACGCCACTGCTGTGAGGCCGTCAGTTCTTTTCAGTCAGTCTGTGTAGTCAATGCGTTTCTATTACGGTTTCCACAGGGATTGATGCTCACGAATGTGACAATGTGATTCTCAAACTTCCCCAGAGTAAACACTCAGGAAAAGCCATGAATGTTTTGCAAAGGAGAGAGGGCCTGTCCTAGTAGGATCACAAATAACAAAAAGCTAAAGAAGGAGGAGGCACCAGATAGGCAGTGAGAATCTATGAGGGAATCTCACTCACACATACAAGAGTTTGGTGGGCAGCATTTCCAAACAGCGGAAAGGGGCTTGAGAAACAACTCCTTTTTTTTTTTTTTTTTTTTTTTTTATGTGTATGGCTGTATTGCCTGCATGTGTGCCTGTGTACCATGAGCATGCAGTACCTGCAGCAGACAGAAGAGGGCACCAAATACCTGAAACTAAAGTTACAGACTGTTGGGAGCTGACATGCGGGAATGGAAATCCAACCTGGGTCCTCTGCCAGAGCAGCCAGTGCTTTTAACCACCAAGCTGTCTCTCCAGCCCCTAAAGAGACTTCTTTATAAATGGCTAGTCATTTAGAGAAACAGAAAGAAATAATGTCTGATCCTTAGATACCTGTAAAAATAAGTTGAGTGTCTTTCTCTATTAGTCTCCATCTAATGCTTTGAACAGGGTCCCTCACTAAACCTAGAGCTCAGCAATAAGCGAGGCTGGCTTTTGAGCCCTCAGAATCCTCCCGCCTCTGCTCCCAGTGCTCAGATTACCAGTGTGCCCTGTGCCTGCCTTCTTTACACGCTAGGGATCCAGACTCGGGTCCCGCTGCTTACACAGCAAGCACTTTACTCACTACACTGTCTCCTGAGCTTTAGTATAAACTTTTAAATGCTGCAGACAGGTGCGATGTTGCAGGTCTGTGCTCCCGGCATTCGGGAGGCTAAGGCAGGAGGACTGCTGTAAGTTCAAAGCCAACTTAAGTTACAAAGGCCTTGTCTCAGTTTTCTTCATTGTACTTGTTAACACCTAATGCACAGTGATCTTTAGGATTTCTCCTATGACCATAACGTGAGCTCAATGATAGCAAGGACTGTTTCATTTTTATTTTTTTCTGGTTTTTCAAGACAGTGTTTCTCTGTGTAACCCTGGCTGTCCTAGAGCTCTCTCTGTAGATCAGGCTGGCCTCAAACTCAGAGATCCACCTGCCTCTGCTTCTCAAGTGTTGGGATTAAAGGTGTGGGTCACCACACCTGGCTCGCAAAGTCTGTTTTCAATTCTGCCACGTATATCTCGTGCTTAGACCAGTTCCTGACTTAAAGCAGGTATTCACGGGTTAGAGGGGCAGCTTGGTGGTTAAAAGTGCTTGCTCTCTAACCCCGAGGAGCAGTTTGGATCCCAGCACCTACAAAGTAAGCCAGGCATCCCTCCAAATGCCCCGCTCTGAGGGCAACAGGGGCAGAAGGATCCTTGAGTCTTGCTGGCTTCTCGTCCAGCTAAATCCAGACTCAAGCTTAGGAAGAGACTTTGTCTCACCGGATACAGGTGGAGGGCAGTGCTCATCTACCTGAGATGG